TAAAACCTGCCATTAGACTTGTGAAGGTGTCTAAAGTAGTCACGACTATCACATCTCTAAAAATTTGAAAAAATTATAATCATTAGTTTATTCTCTCATAATATAATTATATGTTTAATTGGACCTCTATCGTATGTTACATAAGTGCAACGATTTTTTTTATAGTGCCTTGGGTAATAAATAATCCCTGGATTTTTAGTATTTTATATATAAACTATAATATTATACTTTGTTATTACTTTGTTATAATAGATTATAGTAGCAACAACTTATTATATCAATAGCTCATATTAAGAATAAATTATTACTATGATAAGACTTATACCAAGAATTAGTATAACACAGCATTAATTATTAGCACAGTATTAGCATAAATTATCTGTTACTATAAGATAACATTACTACTATATAGTATCAAAATACAGCATTAGAGTGAGAGTGAGAGAAAGAGAGAGAAAGCGTAAGTTATTACAGCACAGCATATTAAGTATATATAATGTGCACACACATATATATATATATATATATATATATATATATACACGGAATTACTATTATTTAATAACAACATGAAAAAAAATTTGCAAAATTCTACTTTCAAAACAACATTACTTATCACCCAACTCAGTAATAAATCATAAGTACATAAAAAGAAAAAGAAAAGAAAAGAAAATTTCTCCAATCTTATAAAGATCGTTCTTAATATAAAAAAAAATCTTCCATAAACCTTATTATCTTACAATTATTAAAAATAATAACCTGTAGATATTGTGTTTAAAGTCGTTGTAGGACGAATACATGACGACACCACCAAAACAGACTGACAGTGAAAAGAAACACTGTGTCACAGCAGCGTACCAGACATTTGGATCGAACAGTTTGTCCCACTTCGGTTGAATAAAGAAAATTATCCCGTTGCTTGCTCCCTTTAAGGTCACCGCCCTGATCAGCAAAGCTATCATGATCACGTATGGGAATATTGCGAGGAAGTAGGCTGCCTTGCCAGAACTTTTAACTCCACGTGCAAGGACAGCAAAGATACTTGACCAGGCGACTAACAAGCAAAGAAGTAATTTCCAATCGGGTAGACCTAATCCGTTATCAATATTAGGTATCTCCTTCAATACTGTTTTTCTGTACAACAAAAGAAAATATTATCAATGTGCGAATAATGTTATTATTCCTAAATTTGTGAAAAACAAAAAAAAAACACAAATATAAGGATATTAACATAGCCCAATGAAGAAAAAAAAAATTTTTATCTGATACATTGAAGATTATACCTATGTATTCTTCGATATGTTTGATTACAAAAAAAAACATAGATCACCTCTAGATTTGTACATATACTGATATGAAGATATTATAATTTAATAAGTTTATTATGATCTTTCATGATTTTTTATGATTTTTTATGATCTTTTATGATTTTTTAGGGAAAAAATTGAAGATCGTGAGTGTAATCAGAATTTATGTTCAATTCTAAGATCTAATATATGATTTATTTATTTTTATATTAAAAATTTTTAATTTTTAATCGACGACCTGTTGAATCAGAAATTTGTTATACCGTATTTCCATAACTTCAACATGATAATGAGAATAAAATTATTGCTATCTTTATTATTAGCATCTCAATATATTCAAGAATAAATATAATAATTTAGGTAACAAAATGTTATTTATTTTGAGCAATGTAATATCATCGAATTTGTAAAAGATTGTATCAAGATTTTTGATAACGATCAAGCAGAGGTTATAATTAAAGTAATTAACGTTTCTGATTCTTCGAGATATACTCCTTTTATATACCATGTCATGGAATCAATAACGTACATAGATATTTATAAGTTCGATAGCGTTTCGAATAAAAACGTAGATAGTTACAAGAAAGATATTAATTGGACCTTTTGTTAATCTTTACTGAGTTATGTTAACCCGTCATAATTGTGCAAGACGAAGTGCTATTCTCAATGTTCTACACCATATCTGTATATATCATATAAGTGGAAAAAAAATATTAATACGTTTGCGATAATAATACGTTTGCATCCTGTAAGACCGGATCTCAAAACGTCAAGTCAGTATAAGCCATCCTTTTACTTTTTTTTTTACCTCACCGTTATATTTATCATCTTCCCCGTTTATCCTTAACATTTTTCGATATTACAATCAGATCTTTATACGTTGATAGGTGTAATCAGAAATAATACTTACGTGAAATAAAATTCAGCGGAACTTCTCTTGTCCGTAGTATTGCGAAATGTCGCATTTTCAACTTGTACGGAATCAACGCACGTATCTCCCCATTCGATAAGACATGTGGACCAAGGTAGCTGTGAATGAAAGCTACCGATCAAATAATACAAGGTCATTGATATCAAGGAACAATAGTAAGTACCAACGGCAACCATAGAAAACATTTGGGCCCAGCCAACACCACGAAAAGCTGGCACTAGTCGTGAAAATGCACATATAAAACAAACAAAAAACAAAAAAAAGAAAACAAAAATAAATTAATTATACTATTATTTAGCTTTGGTATTAGAGTTAGAACTAGTTACAGTAGGATAATACCTGCGGACCACATTTTAACGGAGGATCTACTGGTGAATTGACCTAATATCATTTCCAAATAATAAAATGGTTTCCCAACGACGAAAAGGACTATTATGTAGGGTATTAGAAAGACACCTCCGCCATTTTCGTATGCCGTGAATGGAAATCTCCAAACGTTGCCGAGACCAATCGACATGGCGATGCAGGACATAAGAAATTCGATACTATTGCCCCATGTAGCTCTTTCAACGCTTTTCTCTATTATCGTCTTTCAACATTATTATTTTTATTATAAAATTTCTTAAGAACTTTCGAAAAAAAGAAATTACTATTTGATTATTTAAAGAAAAAATATATAAAAAAATTAGACAAAAATATAAAATAATACAACTTTACCATTTCTTCCATCACGATTGTTGATTGCATAACTTTTCTGTTATCTTCGACGCCATAATTTAAGTTAAAATTATCGTCGTTCTAAAAAAATTAAATCAACAAAAAAATATGTTAAGTACTTTTTGCTTATAACACTATATACATAGTTATTATTAAATTTATATTTCAAATCTGAACTTACTTTTTCAATCTTTTTTGAATTCATAAAGTTACTATTAGTCTGACCATTAGTTCTGCCATCATCTCCAACAAATGCCAGATTATGTTTACCTGCCTATAATAAAAAAAAAGTAAATAAATAAAATAAGAATGAACATTAATTTAATATTTTTCTTTCATTAAAACTGTAAAAAAAAATTATTGTAATTGTTGAAACAAATTAAATAAAATAATCTATCAGTTTGATATTAACGATCAAATTGTTTTCTCTCAACGATTGGTTATTATTATTATTGTTGTTGTCGTTGTTGTTGTTATTATTGTTATTGTTGTTATTCTTATTGTTGTTGTTATTATTATTGTTGTTGTTGTTGTTATTATTGTTTTTATTATGATCATCCTATCTCAGAAAATTAAATCTAATAATGGAAAGAAACAAACCGCAAAGGTCGTCGATCTTCAGGTACTAAAAGAAAATATACGCATTCATAGATCTTCAAGGACACTTTCTAAACATCTAACTTGAACGACTGTCGACAGCTATTAGGTAAATTCTATTGCGAATTCTGCGAGCATACAAAAGTATGCGAGAAAAGTTGTTTAATACGAGCAAAAAAAAATAGAGAAAAAAATAGAGAAAAAAATAGATAAAAGAAGAATGTTGATCTATTAAATTAGCCATTAAGAAAACCAACGTTAAAAAAAAAAGAAACAAAACATGAAATAAAAGAAAATGCCTTTCGATGTAATGACTCTTATCCAGTATAATTTTACTACTTCACACACAAATACACACGCACACACACATAGGCAGAAGACCACGTTATTATCATAACTGAATGACAATCAAATTATCCTTATGTTTTCAGTGAAATCTCATTCTTATGTATGCAGGTATGTATCGCATGTTTTTTATATACCTTTATCTAATTGACATTTTACATATGTATGTATCTTTTGACACGATATATTAATATTTTAGTAGTTTATATATTGTTGACTGTATGTATTTTTCATTCTGTTTCGTTTCACATCGCGTGAGTGATTATCCTCGTAATAATAGTATAATAAAATCCAAATGTTTCTAATGTATTTCTGATGTGTTGAAAAAAAATTGTTTTTTTTTTATTTTTTACTGTGACAAATTAAAAATATAAAAACAGTTGAAGGAAAAAAAAGATGTACTGGTTGATGAACTTATTATATAAAAATAAAGAAAAATAGACGGATAAATAAATAAACACAACTTATATGTAATATATAAAAAATATATATAATATATATGATATTCTATATATAATATATTATAGAGGTTATTTTCATAAATCGTACATTATATATATATATATATATATATATATATATATATATATATAATATACGATCCATGAAAATAGTTTTAAGTCCTTTGCTTGGATTTAGGAGTTAAATCTTTTGCTTTCCAAGCTATTGCCACAAATCATTAAGCTATTCAAGCTTTGTCCCTTAAGTCTTTTAGAATTTCTTCAATCATTCAGGAAATATCCTTATCCTTATCAATAACATTCCTTATCCTTCACAATAACATTCGTCTTCTTGTTATTACAATGTAAAAGTTCTTTATAAATTAATACTTTCTATAACCTTACTGACTACTATCTTTTTATTTCTTATTTTAGAAAAACTTGGAGTCTAAGTCTAAAATATGACCAATTGATCTGTTGTCCTTTTCAATTTCTTCCTTCAGCTAATTCTTAACTCCAACAAATCCTTATAATACAATACTCCGCAGAGTATCTTTATACTAAAATTGCTATTTCCTATTATTTGATTTATTTCCTTCTCGTTTTTCTAAAATTATTCAATTGCTGTAAGATTTAAGTTATGTGTATACCAAGTACAAATGTACATAGAAAGTTTAACTAAAATAAATTGATAAAATTTATATTTTCAATTCTTGAAAATTTTCCAAGTATCCACTTGAACAGTATCCAGTAGATTAAAGATAAATTTTAATAAATAACTGCAGTATTTTTTATTGAATAATTCTAACATTATTTGACAGTGGTCAACTTCGATAATTTTATACTATTATAAAATGATACTAAAAAAATATCAATATTATTTATTGATTAATCCAAAACTACACTATTACAAAAAGAAGAAAATAGCGTCTTATTTATTTAGAAATAATATTTCAAAATTATTATGATATTTCGAAAAATGTCAGCATTATTTGTTGTTCTTAACTCAATATCGTATGATTACAGAAACGTACATTACTTTGTTGCTTATTTTGACATAAAATATTAAAGTTTTTGACAGTATTTATTGACCAACCCAGTGATACAGTTACCAAAAATATTGACATTATCGTCCAACCCATTACGCTATATTATTGTAAAAAAAAAGTACTATTTAAACTATAAGATACTGAAAATGGTTTCTTTTTGTCTCCGATATTATTTATTAACCAATTTAAAGGTCAATCCAAGTTATTACTTAATATTATATTAAATAATAACTTATACTAGTTTATATCTATAACGATAAATTAAGCATCTCATAACAGAATGAAGAGCCGGTTTAACAGTTCCACAATCATTTTTAATCATATTTACAGGCTGACCAATTTGATGACTTTACAGGTTTTTCAATTATACTTCGTTTTTTATTTTTGTTCCTTTTTTTATCTTTTTTCTCTTAACATAAATTTTGTGTTTTCGAGAATACAAGCTCCTTAATTTTCCTTTTTCTTCCTCAATTTTGTCTAATTAATACATTAGAGATCAGATAAAAAATCAAAGGATACAAAAAAAGAACAGAATGTAACGTCTTTGAAATTATTCCTTTCACTATTTCTACGTAACTTCTATCAAAGTAGACATCGCGGACTTAAGTAACTCTCATCTACGTAATTATGGGATATTCCATACATGTAACTGACATCACTCTTTTAAAATATATATATATATATATATATATATATATATATATACATATATATATTATATTATATATTTATAATATATATAATTATAATTATAATATATATTATAATTATATATATATATATATACATATATATATATATATATATATATAATTATGTATATATAATATATATATAATATATATACTTCTCCAAACTGTAAAAGAATGCCAAGGTGTCGACCTGATGCAACTTTGTTTGTATATATGTGTCATGTGCCACTTGAAAGAAATAAATCAATTTCTTTCATTATCGGTCATATTTATTCATAAAACAACCAAAATCAAATGCCACGTGAAAGAAATAAATCAATTTCTTTTATTTAATCAACCATTTTCGAATTTTTTATGGTATTATACAAGAAACAATCAAATTCGTTTAATAATGAGACCTTCTTTCTCTAAAAATTACGAGAAAGAGAGAAAGTAAGAACATTCGTTTTCTTCTTTGACTGATCTCGGTTGTAAAGATAACGTGAGAAATAAGAACAAGAAAAATAATGAAATAAAATAAAATAAAAAAAGTAAAAAATATAAAGAAAAAAAATGGATCGAGATCGTGTGAAAGCCCTCCGTTTTTTCCTTTCGAATATACGAATTATTTATGTTCGATTAAATTTAAAGAATTTTGAGAAACCGAAATCCGAAAGAAAGTCGATCTTCATGTTTTAAAATCTTTTGTCTGTTTTCTCTAAACCTGAATTTTTTTTTTAATAGCATTAGAATACTTTTTTTATATCATAACATATACAGATTATATCTTTTTTATAATATTATTTTCTTTTACAGATATTATAAACACAAATAAAATACTTCTCTATAATTTTTCATTTTTTCTCTTCATAACATTAGGATAGTATTATTATATTCTTTTAATGATATTATTAAAAAAAAAACAAATTTTCTATATTTTTTCTTCTATTGTGTATGTTTCTTTTCGTCTATTATGTGTAAAATATTTCTGTTAATTTTTGTTTCCGGATATTATATATACAAAGAAAGAAAAAATGAAGAAAAAAATGAAAATCGTGATGTAACTAAATATCTCGAAAATATTTTCAATCATATGTGTTGTGTGTACGCGCGTGCGTGCGTGCGTGCGTGCGTGCGTGCGTGCGTGCGTGCGTGCGTGCGTGCGTGTGTATATATTTCAATTTTATTTCGTCGTAAAATTTATAAAAATCAAGAAATTCTCGTCATTCTCGAAAAAAAAATAAGATATAAACCAGGTATAAAGATTTTATTATGCGAATAATATACAACACATACTATACATATGTATGTATATACCTGTATTTCAAAACTAGATTATTATCGTCTGAGTAGAATCATTAGTGTGAAACAGGACACGTTTAACTATTCCGTTTACGTTATGAATCTGACGAGAGATTATATTTCCAGAATCGTACTATCGCAAAATTTGACAAGCAATGCTGATAAATCGACTATCAAAATGATTAATATATACCTATTCTTATTATTTTTGCAATAAATTTAAAATTCGAAAAACGAAACAGAAATTAACAATTTCTGATAATTTCAATCAAATTATCGATTTTAAATATTCGATCTAATCGCCATATATTTTCTTTTTTTCTTCTTTTTTTTAAATTATTTTTATTATTATTATTATTATTATTATTATTATTATTATTATTATTATTATTATTATTATTATTATTATTATTATTATTATTACTATTATTATTATTTTGTATGTTTCTTCGAGTACATAAATGCTCGGTCATAAATGTTTTGAAACGTTTGTGAGAATCGGACATACTTCTACATGAGATATTACAAATCAATTATTCTGTATTCGAAATTATTTAAACGATCTTTTTTTCTCTCAAATTATAAAACTATAAACCTAGAGCTTATAGAACAACAAATTTAACTAGAAGTCCAAAAAAAAAGTATCGTAAAGGAGTAATTATTTATAAAAACCATCTAAAAATTTTTTTCCTAAGAACATTTCAACCCACCTTACAAAATTTTTGTCAATCCTGAAATCTTTTGGGCCATCTTGTATTTTGATCTTACACAAGATTGCAATCGAGTCAGTAAAAAAAGAGAAAAAAAACAAAAGAAAAAGATTTTCCTTGACGAGACATCTGAGTAAACATTATGATGATTTCTTCGTATTTCTTCTCTTTTTCTTCTTCTTTTTTTTCTTTCTCCTTAAGTTCTTTTCAAGATAGACACAACAACGAGAAAACGTGAATATTATTTCCGAATAAACATGAAATGTGATGAACCATAACGTTAATATTTTTTATTGATCAAAGCGAAAGTAAGAATTGCTATTATGTCGAATATTCACAAACATAGCGATGGAATGTATGTCTGATCATCTGTAATAACTTCAATTCGATCAATCAATCCATTATCGATCGAATTTTTTTTCGTTCTTTTTTGTATGATAATCGTAAGATCTCGTCATAGAATCTTGATGAAAGGAGAAAAATTAGATTTAACAATCTATTCTCTTCTTTTTTTTATTTTTTTTTTTATTATATTTTTTTATTATCGGAGATATATTATTTATATATGTATATATATATATATATATATATATATATATATATACATAAATAACACTTTGTCTACTGACACAGTAATAAATTAAATTTTAAATATATTAACAATATTTATTATTAGACACAAATAATACCACTTGCAAAAGTATATTTAGCATATTTATTATTAAATATTATAATTATTTTAAATATTTATCATATAATAATAATAATAATTAATAATATTAATTAATAATTTATAATAATAATAATAATAATAATTATTATTATTATCATTATTATTATTATTATTATTATTATAAAAATTTCAATATATATAAGAAACACATCGACCATAACTTCATGATTATCACATAAACGACACAGTCCTTACAACAATATAAAAATATATATATAAAAGTATATATATACAATTTAATGCTATACATACATTAAATCTCTATATACATATATATATATATATACAATATGTATATACAATTTCATATAGTATTAATACAAATATAAAAATAAATTTATATTAAAATAATAAATTATATGAAATTATAAAAAAAAATATATATATACCAGGTGAGATTCTTACCTTTGCCATTTTTGTCTTTCAAATGAATAAATTGATGAGTAACGACGTATCCTTGATGAAGAGTTAAAACGAAGAGAAAAAGAAGTACCAAAATGACGGGGGAGAAAAAAATAAATAATAAAAAAGAAAAAAGAATCGCAGTCGTCCTTAAAATGATGAAAAAATACAAAGAAAATTACTTGACTTTAGATGATCTCTTAAAAAAAAAACACTGATTTTATGTTTAAACTTGTCTCGACATTTTGACATTCGTACTCACACGTGTTACCTGCGTGAGAGTATTACCTACTTGAGCACGGAACAACCACTGACTGCTTCACGACCGTTCTTGTAGACCTGTCACGAAGGTGCTCCTTCGAAAGTAGTAGGGATAACCGAACTATCACCATGATCGAGTACAACGAATCAAAACTCGATCGAGAAGGGGAAACTCTGTCTCATCTGGAACCTATACCATCACACTTTACTTTCATTGTGTTGGAATATTTCTTATTGAAATCAACTCTTCTACAGTGAGTCACAAAATTATTCTGTACACCCTACAAATTTTAAGGTATATGAAAAATAAAATGATAATATCTATATATATATATATATTATTTTATAAATATATCTGTATATATATTATTTTATTTTATTTTTAGAAAATATAGAATATTTAAACTTTGATCGAATAAAATTAATTAATAAAAAAAATATATATATATCATCGAAATTTGAAAAAGAAAATAAAGTTAAACGTCTCCGCGCATAAATTACATTTATAAAATTATTGGTATTTATAGTAAGACTTAACAATTTTATTATACTTAAAATTTCGTATGTAAATGCAAACGTGTGGAAAGAAATATACTTTTCGTCCAATTATGTCTACCAAATTATGTTCTTTGTTGCATTGATTCTACTGTATTATTTATTTATTTTTTTTTTTGCTTTCAAATGAAGAATTTATTACAGGAACTATGGAAGAAATGATATACTTTTATAAAAATTTAATATTTGAAAAAATAATTTAAAAGAAAGTGCTAAAAAAGAAGACCATTCTAAATACGTTTCAATTGTATCAAGATAACGAATGACATTACAAACACAAATGAAAAATTTTACAATCATATAAAAATGATAGTTCTCAAAATACTCATAAACACACCTCAATCACATTGGATTTAAATACAATTGAAACGGTCTAGAACAGACTTAAGATAAGAAAATACGTGAACATGATATCATTAACGAATTTACAAAGTACACTGATGAGAAGAGAGAATGACAAAATATTGAAGAAAATTATTTGAAAACAAAAAAAATCATATATATAAAAGAGTCAACGCCAAAGAGACTTGGCAAATGTAATTAAACAAAAAGGATACCTTGCATATACGAAATATTAATTACTAAATTGTTAAAAATTAATTATTGATAAAATTATTAAATTGTACAACGTGTAAAAAAATTTTTCGATCGTAATTACTACACGAAATAGTTTAACTTTATTTTTTTTTTCAACTTTAGATGAAACAATTTTTTTTCAAAGTCTAAATGTCATTCGCTTAAAGTCTAAATATTATATATCTTTATTATGAACTTTAAAATAAAAAATAGAAAAAAGAAATACTTTTTATTATTTTTTATATTTTTCATAATCTTCTCAATTCTCTGCGCATGTGCCAATAATTTTGTGACATACTGTATATAGTTCGTTCACTCCGCAAGGGAAACCGGTAGATTGGTTGGTACAGAAAAAAAAGATCTGTTGGATCCTTAGTAGTCTCATTAGTACAAATTTTTGAATTTGAATGGTTGATAAGTGAAAAGAATGTTGTTTTTGTTTGTTTTCATTACGAATAACGTGTGTAATGTACCATATATTATTTAATTATATATATTTTATTATATATACATTTGTTTTGTTATGGATTATTTTTTTATAGTACAATAAAAGAAATCAACAAAAAAAACGATGTTTCTAATCTTCGATTAGATTTAGAATTCAAAAAAATAAAATAATATTTGCAGATTACATTTTAACAGAAGGTCTATTATGAATTATATATTGTATAATTATTTTCATAAATAACATTTATTTCTATTTGTATTTTGTTTATATTATATTTTTATTTTTATTATCATTTTATATTTATATTTTATATATAATTATACATAAATTTATATTAATTCATCGTATCACATTAATTCATTTGAGTTTACAATAATTTATAACAGAAATATAATGTAATTTAATTACATCAATAATAAATTGTTACTTTTTCTAACTCTCATTTAGAATGAATAATTATTTTTAATAATATAATTGTATGTAAGTAAAAAAGTCGAGATGACCATTTTCAAGACTGGTAGAATGAAAATTATTTTGTAATCTTCTTTTTTTATTTTTATATTTTTAACCAATCACATCAATGAACAGGTATAAACAGAGATGACTGGTCCGATCAGAGGTCTTCTAAAAAAATTTGTCGGAATCGTGAACGGTTTAGTCCTTGGGGCAAGACATTCTTCAGGCAAAGAGCTAGGGGAATACCTGCGAACTTGGGTTGCATTCTAATTGGTCAAAGTTTCTTAGTGGTGAAGGGAGACCGAAAGAAAACAGAAAAAAGAACCTTCCTTGAGAAACGAGCAAGAAAATTTCTAGTTCTAAATGTGATTTGAAAAAAAAAAGAAATCAGCAAAAACATAAACTTAAAAAATAAATAATAACAAAATAACGCATTATAAATTAAATATTGGTAATAAAAGAAATATCCGATGAACTTACATAATAAATATAATTTTAGCCTATTGTATATATAATATCATAATATTATAATACATAATAACATATATCCATATAATATTATTATTTATATATAATATTAATATTTATAATATTAACACTGTTATCATAATATTATAAAACATATGACATGATGTTATCATAATATAAAAAAACAATATACATAATTTATAATATTACGTATATATATAATATTATACACACATAATAGATCAAATTATCATACAAACATATACATGTGTGCGCGCACATGCACGCACGCATAAAAAAATAACAGATAAAAAATACTGTGGTCTCAATTAACATTTTCCTTTTACTTCTCCTTCTATCTGTAGAAACGAATGCAATCAAGGTCATCTACAATAAGCAATGTAATAATTCCGTTATATAACAAAATGAGATTGAAAGAGAAGTTGCGTATCTGTCTCTCGAAATTATACAAGAAATAAACAATATAAATAGATGCGTAAGAAGTAATATGCATTATCGAGAGTGACTTCGATGATAGCATAAAACATGTCGCAGTATATTCGTCGTCAAAATGACGATGGTCAAATGGCGTGGTCGACCTCGAAGAGACATCAAAGGGATGAGAGAGAATTTACATGGGTGAAAGTAAACCGGTAAACCGGCCATATCTGACCGTAACTAGTTAAATCTATGGTTCGTGAAACAAATCGTATCCATGAATCAACACATATAGTATATATGTACAAATATATGTATATGTATATACATATATATTTGTGAAATCATGTTCATTAATAATACATACATCTATACGTAGAATATACATTCATATACGAAAAAATTATCATCGAAGATAAATATTAATTTAAAAGGTAGATCATTATCCATAATTTATCGATCTATGAACATTTCGTTAGATGTAATAATTAACCTCGAATATTTTTCTTATTAAATGCTGTTTGCTTTATCTTACTTTATCTTTTTTTTTCTTTCTTCAAAGTATATGCATTATCATACATATACATTATGTATGCACACATACATCATCGTACGATTGATAATAGACGAGATAACGTATTATGACAAACGAGTACATTTGTCCTGATAGATCTCTATTTGATCTAAACCCGTGTGAGCCTTATCGGTTTTTATTACATCGACTTATTATTAGACTAAAAAGTAGAATTAACAGTCTAACGACCATCTCTGTCTATACGAAAATCCACAAACGAGTTTATTAAGGAAAGAACCGCAAACAATCATTAATGATAAAATGAGAAAATCGAGGAACACACACATACACCTATTTAAGTAAGGATATAGAAGGATTTTAATTACTGTAACTGACGCGCGCTAACATCTTTGCATATCTGTTTACGTGTAGGTGCGCGCATGGGCATGTGTGTGTGTATGTGTGTGTAAATATATATGTATATATAAGTCTCTTTCATCAAACCGGAATACAGTTTTATCAGTTGCACTTGATCTTTTTCATTTATTTAAGCTTGGTTGACTGACTGTGACTATGAAATTTCTAAATATCTTTTCTTTTTTTTTTGTTCTATAGAACGCCATAGAAATATATACATATATATATATATTTATTAAGACATATTTATTAAGCACATCGAAAATAATAAACGATGAGTGTGTAAATCAGTAAAAAAAAATTTTAAAAAGTGAAAATATAGATCCCCACATATTTATATATACCTATTCTTTGATCAGTATTAAAATCTGCCATTGTTAAAAATGTTTAACGATATAGAACCGACACGTTCAGACGATTCATAAAGAAAGAAATATTACTTATATAGATCAATTTTATTTGATTTTTTTTTGAAAAAAATAAATTAAAAAAAAAAGATCTTATTACATGTTTGATTGTCTGTGTGCATGTGTATCTGTGGATTTCATAAATTATGTTAAATATATGACTTCCTTGATATTAGAATACCAATTTATTTTTATAGTTTTCTATTGTCATTTTGTAAAAAGAGACATAATAACGAATATATGCATATTTTCTTAATAATAAATAAAAAGAAGTAAAAAATATAAAAAAAGAAAGACAGAAAATGAACGTATATAGATATGTATATTTTTAAATACCTATTTCAGACATTTTATATATAGGTATATATGTATATCAGAAATCTTATACATATTTATGTACGCATGCATAGTACAGGACGAATCAAAAGTTCCTTGGTGAACTAAACATTTCTAGGTGATCTTAAAAATTAATTATTCTTTTTTAATCTTAATTCTTATAAATTTCTATAAATCTCTTATTAAATCTTATAAATCTCTAAACTTTAAAAAAAAAAGGATCTAAAGAGTCTCGAAAAAGAATATAATTGATTTTTAAAATCGGATAGAAACTTTTTCTCCGCACTTTCTCGTATATTTTTACATGTAATATTTTAGGTCTATTTATATACGGGCATGTATGTATAGCAGAAATCTTATACATGTGTACATATATATATATACATATATGACATAAACTTATACTGCTGAGTATTACTGAGGTCAAATAAATGAAAAAAGTTC